AGTGACCCCACAGCCAGCCCCCCACACTGGCCTCGCACCCCCAAACTACCCTCGACAGGCCAGCACGGACTGCCCTGCACCCCCTACACACCCCAACCCCTGTCCCTGAGGAGCAGCCCACCTCCCCACCGCGCCCTTGCACCCCAAACCCCTCAGCACCCCCAACACCAGTGTTTGAGGACCCCAACACACGGTATCGCCCCGTCAGCCCCCCCAGCAGCACAGTGACAGCATGGGGGGGGACGGGGACATGCGTGCCCCACACCTGGGCCACGAGGCTGCGGCCGTTAGCGGGACCGGTGCCCCGGGCCAGTTCCCAGCACGGCCCCCCCGCCGGTGCCCGCCGGGCTCCGCTGCCCACACCAATTACCGGACAATCAGGGCCGCCGGGCCGCCCTGCCGCCGTCCCCGCCAAGGGGCTGGGATCTGCCGGGGCCCCGGGGTCCCACTGCCACCGCGGCCCCGCGGACGGCTGAGAGCCTCGCCAATTAGGTTAATGGGGTTGGCACAGGCACTGGGGGCCGGGACGGGGGTGGCACAGGCGGTGCCGTGGGACCGGGGGCAAGTGTCCTGCTGGCGTCACTCGGTGTGAGGAAGGGGATGGGAATGAGGGGGAAGGAGCGGGTGACCCTGTTGCCTGCGCTGGCCTGGACATCTCTGTCAGCTGACGCTGGCTTTGGTTAAATGAGAAGTTGGCCCGCTGGCTGATGCCCACGTCACTGGCCAAGGGGGACAATTTGAACAGCGATGCCAGGGCACCAGGTGGTCCCCACATCGGAGGAGATCTGTTATGGGAATAGTCCCCAGGGTATGGYGGCCCCTGCTCCTTCCTCGCTGCCCCCCGGGCTCCCCATCCCCTGGGGTGCTGTGGGGTGAAGGAGGAGCGGGCAGGGTGCCTGCAGCGGCAGGGTGGGCGAGGGGGCCGCCCCCCAGCTGGCAGCAGAGGCGAGGGGCCAAGGATGAGGTGGGAGCGCGCTGGGGAGCACAGCCTGGGCCGGGGCTTTCATGTGGGCCGGGGGCTGTCGCGGTGCCAGCGGGTGCCCGCGCCCGCAGCCAGCGCTGCGCCTTTGATGTGCCACTGAAGCGGCATTGTGGCCCCGTTGGCACCACGCAGGACAGCGAGGCAGTGGGAAGGGGAGCGCGGCCGGGGCTGCCGGCACGGAGGCACCTCCTGCTCCCCATGGGATGGAGATCTGAATGGGACCTCTCTAAAGGGCATGGGCACCCTTTTCCCCCAGCAGAAACACAAGGTTGCCCTGCCSCATAGCAGGGACAGAGATGGAGGCACGAGCACCCCCAGCTCCCAAAAGGACATGGGGACCTGCACACCYCATTCCCTCTAACGGGGACAGAAATGACGCTAACAAGGAGGGAGGGTGACAYGGATACCCCTTGCCCCAGAGATGGGCATGGAGACATGGATACTCCCCAATAGGGAAGGAAATAGGAACATGGGTCCCGAAATCAGCAGTGGGGATGCACCCTGTGCTCCTCAGAAGGGCACAAGGATGGGCACAGGGGCATCAGGGAGTAGCAAAGGGAGCAGCAGCGGGGCATGGGCACTCCCAAAAGCTGGAGTAGATGCCATGTTGAGCTGTGGAGCTGGAGGTGAGCGGGGGCACCCCCGCAGCTGTGTGGGTGAGTGGCACCCCACTTCCTAGAGTGCCCACCGCCCAGGGCATGACGGCACCGGAGAGAGGCACATATGTCCCCTGGGCCCCTCAGTCCTCCCCCTCCTGCGATCTCTGCCTTGCCCGCTCGCCCAGCCGCCTTTGAAGTGCCCAGAGCATCCCATGCCCGCACGGAGGCCCCTCGCATCCCGGTGCGTTCCCAGTCRCTTGACGCCACCTCCTGCCCCCTCTTCTCCCCCCGCCACCAAAAAACCCCTCCTCGGCTGGCCCCGCTCCCAGCTGGCCCCCTCCCGGGGCCCATGGCCAGGCGAGGGGGGCACGGGCGGCTGGGCAGCGCAGGAGGGAGGGTTTCGCTGCCGAGATTGGCGTGAAAATGATCAAGGGCCGCGGGCAGCGCCGGAGCGCAGGGCCCGTCTGATGCTGCCCGCCCGGAGGCCCCGTCGAACAAAGGCGGCATTGAGGCCGTGGCTGCGTCCCCCCCCGCTCCCGCCCCCCTCCCCGAGCTGGCATCTTGGCGCGACATTAATGAACTCGCCTGTTTGCGCTCCCCTGGCCCCTCTCTCCTCCCACCGCCCAGGGGGCACCGTATATATCCGCCTCTCCTTACCCGCCTCGGGCACTTCGGGGGCTCCCCCCTGCCGCCCCCCTCGCCTGAAGGGATGGAGCGAGGAGCCAAGAGGACGGGGCCGGTGCTCCCGGCCGCCCGCCCCGGTGCCCACCTGCGGCCCCCCGTGCTCCTGCCTCTCCTGCAGCTCCTGCAGCTGGCGGCGGGGGGTCCGCTGGGCCCGCTGTACCTCATGCCGCCCAGCGTCCTGCAAGGTCAGTGCCCACCRCCGCCACGGGGCATGGGGCAAGCGGATGGGGATGGGGGCTGTGGGAACCGGGACTTCGGGGGTCTCTCTCTGGGGAGGGATGAGCAAAGCAGGATGCCCGGGCTCTTATCCTGGGACAGGACAAGCCTCCCCAAGCCCTGGAGATGCCCTTGCTGCCCAGGCTGGGTGTCAAGTGCTACCTGCTGAAAATGGGGGCTATTTGAGCAGCAGGMGGCTATTTGAACCCCAAGATCCGTGACATCTTCCATCCTGACTAGCTGCACCAGCCCCACGGGACCCTCTGCATGGGGCACCAGGAGCGGGAGGGTGGTGATGAAGGCACAGGCATGGGCACATACAGCCATGAGCACACCAACAGCACACGACGTTAGGGGTTGCGTGTGGGTGCGCGGTGGCGCCAGGGGTCTGAGCGCCCCGCCGTGCGCCCGCCAGCGCTGTCGAGCCGCGGGACGCTGGTGCTGGAGGCGGCGCTGAGGAGCGCCCTGCTCGCGCTGGAGGCGGCCCTGGCTGAGCAGCAGCGGCAGCGCGGCGCCTGCGGGCTCTGTGCCCCCTGCCTCTTCCCGCCCTGCGCCAACCTCACCCGCCGCTGCCCACGTGAGTCACGGCCCCGCGATCCCTACGCATCYTCAGGAGACCCAACTCAAACACCGCCCATGGGTCCCTACCCAACCTGCCCCATGAGATGAGACCAAACTGCCCCCTACCCTATTGAATACTGGTCCCTAGAGACCTTCCCAAAACTTTGTCCTACCTCCTAGAGATGCCGCTGAAAACCCACCAAGACCCTGCCCAAACACTGCTGGGAAACCCAAGCCACCCCATCTACTCCCACACCCCGTCCCATCTTCTCAAGACYCTACCCAAATATCACCTGGACGCCTTAACCAAATGGGGCCCCATCCCCGGTAGACCCTACCCAAGCACTGCCTGATGCCCTTCCCATTCCCCAGAGACCCTTCCCAAGCATCCTGGAGGTTCTGCCCAGCCATGCCCCGTCCTCATCCACCCCAGAGAGGAGCTCCGGATGGGCAGGGGAGGGATGGCTGGGAGATGCCCACATCTCTGCCATCCCACAGCACCAGCCGTGCCCCCCACCATGCCCCCCAGCTGCCAGACCCTGCTTGATGCCCAGGCACTGCCCGAGCTGTCCCAGCGCAACTGGGCGCTGAGCCAGGCGTGTGCCCCCTACCAGCGCCTGTGCCCAGCTGAGGGGGCCCAGGGGGATGCCTGTGTCCCACTCAGCGCCGGGCATTGCCGCCGCCGCCTCCAGGAGTGYCGTGAGTGGGTGTAGACATCAGGGTTCCCCAAAGAGGGGAGCCCTACAGCAACAAATAGGGTGTCCTGGTGGGGAGTCATTGCTGGGTGGGAGAGGCTATGGAGGATGGTGAGGGTGAGGAGAGGGGGAGTGGGGTGGGGAGACTGGGCATGCCAGGGATGGAGCATGGTGCAAGGGAGGTCTGGAATGGGATGGGCACATTGGTAGGATGGAGGCACTGGGGGATGATGGGGGAACTGGAGTGGGATGAGAAGACTGGGGAGACAAGGGTGGTGATAGTGGTGGTGGAGCTGGGATGATCCCCCAAGGGGAGGGGAGACTGGAAGAATGAGGCATTGGAGGTGATGGACAACTGGGGAACATGGAGGCACTGGGGGGTCCTGAGGATACTGAGGGATAGGGGCAATGGGGGGATCCGAGGCCAGACAGGAAGGTTGGGTGATGGGGTCATTGCAGGATGATGGGGAGTTGGTGGTGATGGAGAATCTGAGGGGGATCCGGCAGGAGGACAGAGCATTAAAARGGGCTGGGGAGATCTGGAGTGGAGCAGGGTGAGGGATTGGGCAGGGGGGAAACAGGCAACGGAGGTGCCTGGAGTGATAGAAAAGATTGGGKTGTGTTGGGAGGATTGGGGGAACCTGGGGTGGGACAGGGGACTGGGTGGTGCTCACAGGGAGATCTGGGGTGGGATGGGACAACTCGGGGCACAGGGGTACGGCAGGCACTGTGAGGACCTGGGAAATGTGAGAGGGAATCACAGGCACGGGGGCCGTGGGGAACGGGGAGGAGGGCGGCGGGGGCCCCGCGCGGCGTCACGTCCYGTTCCCGCAGGGCTGGCGACCGCGGCGCCGAGCGCGGCGGCGGCAGCAGAGGCGGCGACGCCAGGTGAGGCGGCGAGGCCGGGCGGCGCTCACGCCACCCCCCGCCACGGCCGGCGCCCCCGTCCCCCCGGCTGCCTGCTGGGCCGGGGGGCAGAGG